TAACAGGAGAAGCAAGATCATTAACACCTAACTTTGGAACTATAGAAAATAAACTCAAAGCATCAATGAAGATAAAGTCTCCTACAAAAGATTCTTGCAACAAAAAGTACCACACGAGTACCCTTAACCAATATGACTGGAGGAAAAAAAATCAAATAAACTAAATAAGCAAGAGATATTTTACAACACCAGTCACTTTAAGCAGAAGCTAGTCTTAAAAAGAAATTAATAAAATGTACCTCTTCTGCATAACAGACAAAAGAAACCTAAAATACCTAAACGCCTCATGAAAACCATCAGCAGTTAATAAACACTTTTTTCCCATTCTGCAGAAAATAAAATAAATACTCATTTCAATTTGTCTTGTGATTCATGGCAAGTAGCCCATTTAATGCCATTCAGGTATTATAGGCTTATTTTCAATTTTTCATACCTAATTTGGGCAAACTGTGAATAAAGGTTGTCTTTATCAAATTCATAATTAAAATAATGATACTTACTCTCACTTTTAACCATCTTGTATTGATGTAGTTTTTTAGTATTATTCATGCAAGCCCCTGTCTATCACTGAAGCACAGGCAGAGATTAATGGATCTTGCATAATACTGCAACACTGTCTACTACAACTGTAGAAGTTCTGAATTCTCGTAATATAGAAGTCAAGCATTTTGAAATGATCACGCAGACCCTCTCTTACCACAGGATGGACACAACATAAAAGGTGATTTGGCTGGTCTCTCCATTATCTAGGCCTACTTTTGGTAGGAGATGCACATGGTCAATGATAACAAGGCTGGAAAAGGGAAAAGAACGTCGTCTCTGAATACCAGGAAAAAGTGATTTCACACTTCACAAAATAGTGGTTACTTCATTCATATACTTAGTCTATATGATCTATGTTTGGACTGCATTATGTAAATACCAAAATGTACATATCCTTCTAAGGAAAACAGCTTTACGAGAATTATTATATGCTGCATCTTAAAGTGAGTAGCATCATCTCTATTCTTCATCTATTAAACCTGTAATTTAAAAAAATGCTTTCCATTTCAAAATTTTAAAAATTGTGATATCCCTTGCTAGTAACATTAAATGTATCCCTAATTCTTTTTTTTTAAACACTTATTTATTTGAGAGAGAGAGCATGAGTGGGGAAGAGAGGCAGAGGGAGAGAGAGAAGCAGACTCCCCACTGAGCAGGGAGTCCGACGTGGGACTCCCTCCCAGGACCCTGGGATCATGACGTGAGCTGAAGGCAGACGCTTAACCGACCAAGCCACCCAGGTACCCTTAATGTATCCCTAATTTTTTAATAGGATTCTATGGCATATAGCTAACAAAAGTCTTTGTACCACTTTTTGAGGATCTGACAGAGAAGGAAAGGAGGTACAGGGAAAGAAATGTCTAAATTTAAAATTTAAAAACATAAAAAGACATAAATTTGGGTAAACTTTTTAGAAGTGACTGATACTGTCTCATGTTGAATTATTAATTTGTTTAATGAGTTTATTTTAAGCATCAAAATTAAGACAGATTCAGAATAAACACAATATATACAAAAAGCTTACAAGAACTTAGTGTTGGTAGTCTATGAATAAAACAAGATTCAGGAAGACCTGTGATCAAACCCCAGCTCTACCACTTACTATTAATGCAACCTTGGGTAAGTTTGCTCACTTGTCTGAGACTCAATTTCCCTGGCTATGAAATGGGAAAAATACTACCTACCTCAAAAAGTACTGGTTGGAATTCAATAAAACAAAATAGAGTCTCTGCATGATGCTAGACTCAAAGACTACTACAATTTTTATCAAAAGTAGAACGTGAGTAGTATTTCACATGACACAAAATGCACCAGGAATTCTATCTAGATCACTGGCAACAAAATAACAATGTTGGTGGAAAAATCATTTAATTATTTTAGACTCTAAACCTATAAAAGAAATGGTCTGAACTAGACATGACTTTCTAAAATTCTAGAATTCTACCTTAAAGTGATGCCCAGAAATTTTGCTCCAAAATTTATTACAATAAATAACCCAGAGGAAAAATTCTAAGAACATCAAATGAAACAGGCAGTGTATATTAAGAATCTGAAAAAATTTCATGCACTTTGAGTAATAACCACATTTTTAAAAATCGATTAAAAGAATCTTACCAGAGTTGTGTACAAAAAGATGTTTAATGTTAATTCTAATTGGGAAAACTTAACTACCTTAACCATAAATCAAGAACTTACAAATCAAGTTCTCAAAAAATTCATGACATAGTAAGCACTTATAATATAATGCTGAGTGTAAAGGGAAAAATATAAAACAATATTTACAGTTCTATTTCTTAAATGTTTGTAAAATAAAAACACTGAAAGAAAAGCCAGCAAAATATTAGCAGACGTTATCTCATATTAACAGAAATGGGTTAGCTTTTTTCCATTGGATTATTTCCCAATTTTCTTCCATACAACTATGATTTCCACAATGAAAAAAAAAATACAATAGTCATATTAAAAAAAAAAAAACTCTCAGCAAACTAGAAGCTAAGAAAACTTCCCCAAGCTGATGAAAACTGTTTACAAAAAACCTACAGCTAATTATTTAATGGTAAAAGACTGCATGCCTTACCCACCAAGATGAAAAACAAGGCAAGGATGCCTGCTCTTACATGTCCTATTCAACAGCATACTGGAGGTCCTAGCCAGTGCAGTCAGACAGGAAAATTAAATACAGCTGACCCTTGAACAACTCAAGGGTTAGGGGTGCCAACCCCCTCATGTCAAAAATCTGCATATAACTTCTGATCGAATGATAATTTTAATTATAAATTATATAGTTCAATAAACCTAAATTTTAAAGGACATAGGACATGCCCTTTTGAAAAATACACATCAGATTAAATGAGCTAAACCCATCTGAGTTTGGGGATAGGGGAGACTGAGGAAACCAAAATATCCTTAGAAATACTGCAAATCAAAAAAAACCAACTTATCATCAAGATTTATCAGTAAGAAGAAACAGACACTGATAAAAGAATTAATCTAAAGAGAGTTGCCTTTTTCATTAAGTTCTGGTTGTTTGGACAGAAAGTAACAAAATCTGATGAGCTTACAAGAAAGACCATAAGTCACAAGGAACAGGCTGATAAAGGAGCACTGTGATCATGAGCCAGAATTTGGAAACAAGTTACCTAACACTCCCCTTCCAATTCACTCATGTCAATACTCTCATCCAGTCCAATGCACTGTCACCCCAAATTCTATTAAGAGAAATATAATAAACCTTCAAACAGCTTTCTTTATTTGTAACAATCCTACATACTTTAAAAATCATACATCTACAGCTAGGGGTACAAGATAAAAATGCCTCTTACTAGGCAAATTCCTATTTAACCACTTAACCTCCAGATCAGCTAATTCCTTTTCCTTTTTACTGTCACCAAAAAAAATATTAAATAAGTGCTGTCCCTCTGTGATGACTCTGCAGTTTCTTTTTGACTGTTATTAAGTATTAAGATGATTACAAAAAGCTCTAAGAAGTTTTGAGCTTATGACTCCAATGAGAAGATACATTTTTCCATGTCATAAAAGAGGTAAATTGTAACTTCCATCACTGTTTATGTTTATTCCATGTGGCTTATACTGTTGCTAGGATACCAATTCATAATAAGATTTCCAAGCCCACGGAACAACTTTCCTAGCCAGCCAACTTTGTAACCAGGGCGATTGTGGACCACATAATTTTCTGGCTCGCCAGCACCACAAAGGTGCTCTCTCCCTGGCATCTCCCGTGCTCCATTCACTAACAGGTACAGTAAGCATCGCCAATTCCTTCACTGCAACAGAAATTGTAGCACAGGGCAAACAGGATGATTAGAAGCGTAGAGCTCTCTGATGTCAGAGAACAAAATGAATCTATTGTCACTCCCTGTTCTCCCACCCAGCTAAATAGTCTGGGTATTTTCCCTTAAACCGTAGGGTGAAATGTTAGCCCACTCCAATCACTCCACCAAGGAACATGCAAACACTACTCCCAAAAGCCATCACCCACCTACCGCCCGGATAAATATTTGGAGGAAGGTGGCATCAGTATCTGTACAGTTCGGAAAGGAAGGGAAGGAAAGGAGTCGGAATTCTTAAGGGGCCGCTGAGTCACCTACAGCTGTGGCCAGGACTTCACCCTCCAGGAAATCAGGCTCTGCCCCAACTCCCACCACGGAAGCAAGTGAGAGAAGCAGCAGCAACATCATCCTACCAAAAAAACCTCCAGCACTGCTTTTAATAGTGTTACCACTCCTAAAAGTGAAGCCAGAAATAGGTTTCATGTCCAAAGCTTTCCACCACAGTACACACCATGGGCAGATGGAAGAAACATCTTTATTGTGGGGAAGGGGGCGCACTTAGAGGGATGAAGGATGCCTCACCACTTGGAAAGTTACTGGCTCCGGCCTTAATCCCAAAACGCCACTTGTATTGCAACATGTGGCCGAGATAACTACAAAAGAAATGTGGCTGACGGACGTTGCAGACGGACGTCACGCCGGTGTACAAAGCAAAGTGAGGGAGAAACATAAATCAGGCTCCATCGGTGAAAACCCGGCAAGGATCTAAGTCTCCGTTCGGTGGGAGGTTCGGTGACACAATAATCACGTGTACTTGTCCGTAGACGTTCGGAAATACTCGATTCTGGAACGTGCAGGGGCCGAAACCAGCCGGCAGAGCAAGTACCGGTCGGCACCAGCGGCCGGGTGAGCGCGGTGCCGTCCCAGCCCGAGGCGGGTCACGCCTCCGACTCCCGGTCCCGGCGACCTCCGGGGGCGAGGCCGGAGCCGGCGCGAGGCGGAAGCC